TCTCTCTCTCTCTCTCTTACATTCTCTCTCCATGTAACGCAGTTATTGAAATTCGCTCTATTGCACTAAAAGCCGTTGGATTCTCTCCATTTTACACCTCCCCCGCATTCCATGATCTGCCCCTGAGCTCTCTGTAAGAAGGAATGTTCATTTTCCCGGAAAAATCATAATCCCTATTATGTATTTTCCCGGAAACTTTCATTTTCCCTCGGATTCCCCCTGCAGCTGCGCTTAACTCACCAATCTGATGGTTTTTTGAGCTTCTCTGGAGCTGACTTCTTGGATGTAATTTCGTGTTTTGTTTACTTAACGCAATGATCAGAATTCAGATCTTAATAGGTTTTCTCTATATATTTCAGTCCTAAATTATCAATCGTTTTGTTGTTGTTTCTTAAGTTATCTAAATTCCCAAAGGTTTGCTTGAGATTCTAGGGTTTTATCTGTTGTTCTTAATAGTTAATAGTCTCTTATTCGGAGCTTGACGGACGATAGATTTTCCCTATTTTGTTTTCTGATGTTTTAAAGTCAAGGTCTCTTGAAATTTCATAATCTTCAAGGTCTCTGTTTTTTGTTTGTCAGTAGAATTTGTGAACTCGCTTCGTGTTCCGAGGGAAATCCGATTTCGAGTTTTTTAAGAATAGGGTTTTTGTTTGTTCAGGAAGAAATTACCGTTTCTAGGATATATTATTAGGGTTTAGCATTTCATCTGAATGGATAAGGACAAGTCCCCTGGTCATGGTGGCGGTTTACCGCCCCCTTCGGGTCGATATTCGGGGTTTTCGCCTGGTGGTAGTGGTTTCAATGTGAAATCTGAGCCATCCAGCTCGTCGTTTCCTCCTTTGGCCCCCGGTGGTAGCTCAGACGTGGGTCATTTTGGGCATGGATTGTCTGCTGATTCCGGTCGGTTTAGCCATGATATTAGCAGAATGCCGGATAACCCGCCGAGGAAATTGGGTCACAGACGAGCACATTCTGAAATCCTAACCCTTCCTGATGATATCAGCTTTGATAGTGATCTCGGTGTAGTGGGTGGTGCGGATGGTCCTTCGTTTTCTGATGAGACCGAGGAAGACTTTTTTTCTATGTACCTTGATATGGATAAGTTCAATTCTTCCTCTGCTACATCGGCCTTCCAAGTGGGTGAGTCGTCTTCTTCTGCAGCAACTGCAGCTATGATCGCAGCACCAGCTTTGGGTGCAGCAACTTCCTCTGCAGAGGTTGCAGGCAGTGGTTCTAATGAGAGGCCTAGAGTTAGGCACCAACATAGCCAGTCCATGGACGGATCGACAACCATCAAACCGGAAATGCTTGTTTCAGGTTCAGAGGAGATTTCTTCAGCAGATTCCAAGAAAGCCATGTCGGCTGCTAAGCTTGCCGAGCTTGCTCTAATTGATCCCAAGCGTGCAAAAAGGTATAGCTTTTTTCCTTCAGCGGTTTTATCCTTATTCGACTAGCTTTGTAAGGAAGTTCTGCAAATCAATGGATTTAATTTTATCCTCATTTTTATACGTACTCTGAAGGCGGGCCTTGGCACCATGGTGGGAGTGCTTGTGTTTGCACCCGGGGTCTAAGGTT